TTGAAATTCTATCAAATAATTATAAAGGTAATTTTAATTATATTATACCTGTAAAACAATCTAGTTTAGAAAGTGACAGCAAGTTTGTAGATTCTTTGCATTAAACTCTAAATTAGATATAGAATTCTTAACAGTATACCTAGATTATTGGTTCAATAGAATGCATTAAATAAAAAAAAAAAACTAAGAAGAATCATAACTAAATCAGACTTCTTTGAGAGAATTTGATTAACAAGTATTAGCTTAAACTATTATAAAAGGCTCTTTGTGTGTATCAATAATGTAATAAGCATCGATAAAAGGTCATGATGGTAAACGTTAATTAAGAAGATTAAGACTTAAGTCGACTTGCTTGTGCTGTTTGCGTTTAAGAATTTCCAAAATAATATATAACGCTAGAAGAAGCAAACAAGAGATGGAATTTATAGAAAGAAGAATAACAAGATTTAATTAATAAATATAATTTAAAAAGAAAAACCCAATATAATAATTCTGTATAGATCATTAAGAAATTAAAGGATAATTACAATTAAACTCTTAATGAAATACTTATCTTATTAGATAAATAGCTGTAGAATACTGAAGAAATCTTCTAAACAAATAAATTTAGCAATAAAGATTTATTTTAATAGGATGAAAAACAAATACAACAGATAATCAAATTATTAAGTTTAAAAGATTAAACTAATCATATTAAAGAGCAATAAGAAAAACAAGATTAATCAGATCTTTTGCTTTATTCAAATTTAAAGACTAGGTTGGAAAACCTAATGAAAGAAGATTTGCTATGTAAATACTAATTAAACAAAAACTTAAATAGATAACAGTAAATTTGTATATTATATTAAATATATTAGTTAATTAAATAAAAGATGATAATAAAAATGCTTTAGATTCTGAATTACATGAATTCATACTAAAATGTTAAACGTAGGACCTATATTTTTCTGTTTTCAACGAATCAATTGATTCATTTAAAGAACTTTAAAAAATATATGAATCCTTATAAAAAAATGGATAATTATAATAAATTATGGATGTATAACAAGAAAAATCATAAGTTAAAAATTTTAAATTATTTGAGCATAATTTTATGAGAATGAAGAAATTCATAATGGCTGAAGAAAATGAGTAAAAATTAGATTAAGTAACTCAACACAAATAATAATTATTAATTTAAATAAAAGAGCTAACTGATAGAAATAATTAGTTTTCCCAAAAAATCATTTAATTAGAATTAGAAATAAAATAGATTAATGAGTTATTTAACTGCAAATTAAGTGAAAAAAAAATGGAATTAGAAAAATCGATTTTAGAAATACGAACTTGTTTATTAGAGATGGAAGAATTTAAAAAATACTAATTAAGTGAAACAAAAGATCTAAATGATTAGATTTAAAGCTTAAACTAGGATATAAAAAAGAAGTGCGAATAAAATTCCTAATTATAATCAGATTTAGAATAATTAAATAAATCGTTTGCCAATTAGTGTAATTAAAATGCTAAAAAAATCTAATAAG